TTTCCCGGATTGCCCTGCTTCCTGCTGGAGCCGCACCCGCTCTCTCTTCCCCGCCCCGGATGGAGAAAGGGGCCTCTGTAGCCAGAGGCTGATCTAGACTCGCCCCTGTTCAGGATCTCTGGTTTGGCTGGTGCAGGACAGAGCGTCGGTGTCTCCAAACCTCCTGCTGCCCCTGCCCAGATGGGGAGGGGTTGGGGCTACAGAAATCCCTTTCGCTTGAAGGCGTGGAGGCGGCGCGGCCCTGGGGAAAAGGCGCCTCTGGATCAACGCCGACAGGCGCCCGTGTTAGCTGCTGGCCTGCGGGAGCCGCCTCCTCGGCGGGTGGGCTGGGAGGTTTCTCGGGCGGGCAGGGGGCGGCTGGTGCCGCGGGCTGAGCGTGGCGTTTCCTCTGGCAGATACATGAAGTACCTGTACCCCTACGAGTGCGAGAAACGAGGCCTCAGCAACCCCAACGAGCTGCAGGCCGCCATCGACAGCAACCGGCGAGAGGGCCGCCGGCAGGGCTTCGGGGGCTCCCTCTTCACCTACTCCCCCAGCGGCACCCCCAGCCTGCTCTCCTCCCCCAAGCTGCAAGTGCCTGGCCTGGGGCTGGCGGGGGCCACCAACGGCGGCCCCATCGGCCCCGGGCAAAAGATAAAGAAAGGTAACGGCTTGGCTGGCGCCCTGCTTGGCATGAGTGGGCTGGGCCGTGGGTTAAAGCGATGGGGGGAGCGAGGGAGTAAAGGCCTCAGGGTTTGGCTCTTTTAGCTGGAGCTTTTCACCCCGTAGTTTCAGAGCCCTCCGGAGCGGGGAGTTAATAACATTCCTATGGCACTCATGGGCAGATGATGGCAGAGCAAGGGATAGAACCCACGAGTCCTGAGTCCCAGTCCCCCCTGCTCTAACTACTAGACCCTGCTCTCCTCCAAGAGCTGAGACGAGAACCCAGGCTCCCAGGCCTTTGCTCAGTCCACACTGGCTCCTTTAGATATAGATATTAATGGAGATATCCCATCTCCTAGAACTAGAAGGGACCTTGAAAGGTCATCAAGGCAAGGCAAGGCCAGCCCCCTGCCTTCACTAGCAGGACCAAGTACTGATTTTGCCCCAGATCCCCAAGTGGCCCCCTCAAGGATTGAACTCACAACCCTGGGTTTAGCAGGCCAATGCTCAAACCACTGAGCTATCCCTCCCTTTACATGGTGCCACTTTAATGTCAGAATCTCAGAGCAATTTATAACCATTAACGGAGCCATAGGGATTGCTCTCCTCACCTACCATAAAACAGGCCAGGATTATCCCTAGTCTACCACTGGGGAAACTGAGGCAGAGTGCGGGGAAGTAATTTGACCCAGGTCGTACAGGAAGGCAGCTGGGACCTAGGTGTCCTGAATCCCAGCCCCCTGGTCTAACCACTAGTCTTCAGTGCCACGCCCGTGTGAATCAATGCTTGTGAAAGGAGAGTACCAGACAAAGGAGCCGTCCCATACTGCAGCAGGGAGCTGGCTGGGAAGGCTGGGTGTACGTAAAGCTTGTTTCTCGTGCACGTGAAGAGTCTGGCCTGGACCAGCCCTCGCGAGCTCACGGGACTCCCGTGCCCTCTCCTTGTTGCAGAAGAGGATTCCCCCATCCCAATCACCATGCCCAGCCGACTCCCTGTGTCCCTGGCTGGCCACCCGGTGGTAGCGGCCCAGGCAGCGGCCGTGCAGGCGGCCGCCGCTCAGGCCGCGGTGGCCGCTCAGGCCGCGGCCCTGGAGCAGCTGCGAGAGAAGCTGGAGTCCGGGGAGCCTCCGGAGAAGAAGCTGGCTCTGGTGACGGATGAGCAGCAGAGGCTGATGCAACGGGCCATTCAGCAGAACCTCCTGGCCATGACGGCACAGCTACCCATGAGCATCCGCATTAACAGCCAAGGGACCCGCTCGCCAGGTGGGCAGTGCTGGGGCTGGCTTGGGGGGAGGGAGAGAAAAGGGAGGCGGTCGCACTGCGGATCGTCCCCAGAGGTTAGTCTAGGGGCCCCCAACCCTATCCCAGCTCGCTGGAGTAAGGCCACCCCTTGCACGGGTCGTCGGCAGTGGGGATTGAACCCGGGACCTCTGATTCTTAAATGCCGAGCCTCCACTGCCTGAGCTAAAAGAGCTGTCCCCAGCTCCCTGTCCCATGCTTGGGCCGCTCAGCCAGGCCTTTTCCCCTCTCCCAGCATAGGAAGGGCTGTTTTACTAGCCCGGGTTTAAAAACAAGCGCCTCTTCCGTGTCACGTCTGATCCGGTCCCTCTCCCTGTCCCAAAAGCATTTCCTGGCACTGCGCTGGCCCCACTTTTAGCAAATCTGAAGACACAAATCCCAAAGCTGCTGGTGTCTTGCGAAGCCGGGTTTGATTCCCAGGGCCTCTGCTCCTGCTGATGGTACCAGACCCCTAAACCAGCCTTGTCCGGAGGGCTCCCTTTTCATTCTCCACGTCCTTTTTCCCACCCGCTGGTTTCCGTGTATCCCTGCTGCCTGTCCAATAGGACCACAATAACATTTAAAGGCAGACCTGGATGCTAAGACCCCCATCTGTAAATGGAGAGGGATTTTTTTACCATCACTGTTAATAGCCGAGAGGAAAGGATTTGGGGATGGCGTCCGCAGGGTTCTGTGATCCTGGTGGGTCAGGATGGCCTTGTTCTGACTGAGCACTTTGTTTATAATCTGATCTATCCTGCTGCAGAAAACCGTCAGGACTCCGGCATGAGCCTGGCCAGCAACGGCACGAACAGCATCAGCATGTCAGTGGAGATCAACGGCATCGTCTATACAGGTAAGGGGAACGCGGCCGGGTCTCCGTCTCTGCCTCTCGCTCCGCCCCTCCCCAGCCCCCTGCTGGCCCAGACAAACAGCAAAACACGGCTCTCCCCGGTGATCGCGTTGACATGTAACTGTGAGACGATGCCCCAGTAGCCCCATCGCGCCGGGAGCTGTACAAACCGAGAGCAGGCTGTCTGATCAGAGCCCAGGCTCTGGTCTCAAGGTTCCTATTCTGCAGTCCCTTCCCAGCCTTTCCAGCAGGGCCAACTCCAGGCACGAGCCTGGCAAGCAGGTGCTTGGGACGGCAGCTCCGGAGAGGGGCGGCAGGTCCAGCTATTTGGCGGCAATTCGGCGGACGGTCCCTCACTCCCGCTCGGAGCGAAGGACCTTCTGCCGAATTGCCGCCGCAGATCGCAATCGCGGCTTTTTTTTTTTTTTGGCTGCTTGGGGCGGCCAAAACCCTGGAGCCGGCCCTGCTTTCCGGGGGTGGATTGGATTGCTCCGTGCCGGACGCGCCTCTCCCTTTGCAGGCTTTCGGTCTTGGCGTTCAGCAGGTAGCGACTTGCCTCTCCCCGTCTCGCTGCCCTTAGACAATGTGCTTCCAAACTCTTTCCTCTGGGGACAAAGGCGCTTGCAAGTTATTTTCACGAATTAGCACCACTATGGTAGTGCCTAGAGGCCAAGCGCCACATCCCGTTCTGCTGGGCGTGGCACAGACACCTAGCTGGTCCCTGCCCCGAAGAGCTTACGGTCTAGAGAGACACGGTTGCGAGGGGAAACGGAGGCACAGGAACTAGCTAGGAATAGGCCAGGGCCCTAAGCACTAGATCACCCCTCTCCAATGAAGCTTATGTCTTAGCTGATTATTGCTGAGTTTCTTGCCCCTTCCTCTGAAGCCGCTGGCCATTGACCAAGACGGATGCTGGGCCGGATGGATCGCTGCTTTGATCCGGGCTGACGGTTCCTATGCATCGGGGCCCCACTGTCCTGACGGGGGGAGAAGGAGCGTTCTTCCCCACTGCGCAGCTTGGTTCCCGCTGGAGTTAGGAGCAGCCCCACCCCAAGCCTCTCCCTCTTGTCTCTCCCCCAGGTGTGTTGTTCGCACAGACCCCCGGCCCCTCATCCTCCTCGCTCCCTTCCTCCGCCTACAGCAAAGGAAACAGCGGCAGCCGGAGCAGCAGCAGCAGCGGCGTGGGGGGCAGCAGCGGCGTCTCCCAGGCTGCCCCCGCTGGTTTGTCCGCCCCTCCAACCTCTACCTCTAATAACTCTTCTTCGCCTTAACCCCCCTTCCCCCAACGGCAGCACCTCGTCTCACCAAAAGACACACACACAGAATAATAACACACATGGAGCTTCTATCACAGCTGATGCCAAAAACCAAGCTTGCATCTGGCTTTCCCGGGGGGTGGGGGGAGGAAGCCCCGTCTCCCACTCCTCCCGAGAGGACTGGAGAAAGTTTTGCAAGGAGAAAAGCTTTAATCCAGGGGGTTTCATTAAAAGCAGCCTGGACCCTGAGCCAGTCGTTACCCGTTCGCTTTGGAGGTGATGCACCGTCCTCCCGGAACGCTTTACCTCACGACACCCCACTTTGCACTGTGCGTTTGTTTGTTTTAATGTTGTTGTTTGAAGTTGTGTTCTTTTGGATACCTCCAGACAGACACACAGTCGCACCGACGCCCGCGGACTTGTGTTTTTAATGAAACCTCCCCACCTTCCTTTCCTTTTCTTTTTTTTAAACCAAAAACAACATTTGCAAAAGCGGGAGGAATTTTAGTCCTTTAAATCTTTTTAATTTTAAGAACTACACTCAAACTATATGGCATTTTACGAGGTGGTTATTTGGATTTTTTTTTTTTGTTAAATAGCTTCTATTTTATTCTCTAAAAAAAAAAATCAAACCTTAACTCACAAAAATGATATATATTAGCATTCGTTCAGGGAAACAGGACTTGGAAACCTTGTGACCTCTTTTTCTTGTCATCGTCGGATGTTGATCTTTGGTCGAGTTCGAGCCGCGCTACTTTCTTTTGAACACTGGTGACGCCCGAGGTTCGGGAGAGAGCCAGGGTGACCCCACCAAATGAGCTCAGGTGTTCGTATGCAGGGTGGAAGGGGGGGGGGGTTAAGCAAGCTCCGTTTGGAGATCCTTAGGGTTGAAGTTGTGTCGTTGATCTGCAGTTATTAGGAGACGGTTTTGTAGAGCTGCCTCATTGGGAAAAGTCTGCGTTTCTAGGATCCGTTTCCTTCAGGGATCCAGGTAAAGGGATTAGGTGCCACCTCGTCAGCCTCTCCGCTCCGCTCCACAACTAGCTGTTGGACCTTGGTCCTCTAGGGGCTTGTGCCGGCCCTGATCCAGAAAAGCTCTTACGCGCCTGCTGGACTTCAGGCATCGCCTTGGTGACGCCGAAGGGGTTACTCGCTGCTCCAAGTCAAGCAGGTGCATCACAGCGGTGCTTTGGATCAGGGCCAGAGCGCACAGCCGGTGTAAAGCAGAGCTGTCCGCACGGCCAGCCTGCTTCCTTTGGGTCCTGCTTCAGCAAAGCGCGTGGTCGAGGCTCGCGGGCGGTAAGGGGACTTCAGCCAACGCTTTACAGTTTAGGTTTGAGAGCTGTGTGGATGGGGCTGGGGGCAGCAGGGGGAAGGCAGTGCGTGTGGATGTGTCGTTGCTTGACACCCGTAGCCTGTAGGTAACGATACGCTTGCCCTCGCTGGCTGGAATTCTCCAGGCGTAACCCGAGGGGCAGCAAAAGGTGCGATTCCGGCTTGTAGGCTTCGGAGGCAAAAAACAGGTTTTGCATCGCGAGACTGAACGGTAAAGCTACCTGAATTCTACTTCCCATCCCCAGTCCAGAGCACCCTCCCGCTCCCTGTGCCTCTTTTATTCCCTCTGATCTGGACCTACATGAGAGGGAATTAGGTTCCCAACTCCCATTGACTTGCCCCTAATTCCATCTGGCCTCTTTGGAAATCCCAGGCTTAAACTGAATCTGTGGCACAACTGATGCTGCACCATTGAGGGAGGGGAGAGAGAGGGTCCCGCTTGCAGTTACCTGCAACTTGGCGTCATCACAAGGGACCGGCTGGCCTGTTACACTTGGTCTGTTTTGTATTTTTCTCGTGTGTTTGTTTAATTTCTCGGTGGAGGAAATTAACGTTGATGACTCCTCTGCTTCCCCACCCCATCCCCTCCCAGGGAACCCTGTTCCCAGGGGCTTACAGTACAATTCTCTCCCTGTAATTAGGTCCAGGGAGCATAATTTAATGAGCTCTGCGCTGTGTGCCGTGTTCCTGACGTGAGTGCGGGGGCGGGGTTATTCTGGAGGAGAAACTCCATTTTAGAGACAATCGAGGGCTTGCTGCAGAATTCATCTGAGGAGCCTAAAACATCCCCAGCTGGGAAGTCCCCTGCAAGGTGCTGAGTGCCGTTAACTCCCACCGAAGCAGCTGCATGTTGGACGTGCCCAGCACTTCTCAGGATCGGGCCTTAAGCGTGTGTCCTGCCGTAGCCATGCGTTTCCTCTGCCCTGTCCTGTGGCACCCGAGCATCCTTACCTGCATAATAGTCCTAAAGGGCCTGATGCTGATTCTCAGCTGCTGTCATTTTCGCTTCACGCCCACCCTCTGCGCTGGTGTAAGTGCTCTTGCACTGGTGAAAATCTGTGCAAAGGGCAAAGCAATGGACTGGAGACCCAAAGCCTCCCAGCTTGGCCTCTCTTGCAAACAACGGGGGTGGGGCGCTCTGGATTTTTTTAAACAACCTCTTTTCCTGCTGATTTTTGTGCTTTTCCATTTGATAAACCGGCTCCCAACCTCCCCAGCCTGTTTTTCTAGTCACAAGCCACTCTGACTGCCTCCAGCTCCCTGACCCTGCATTCTGCCAGCAGCTACCCAGCCTGTTAGCTCGCTGCTCTGCTGGAAACCAGCACAGAGAATCTCGTACTACAATGTAGAATCCAGATTGTACACATGCCCTCTCCGTCCCCCCGCTTCTTTCGCCAGATTCTAGATACTTGTGACACCTCATCGTCCGCTCAGGGCTGAAACAGCAAACTGGTTCTTCGTAGGTTTCGTTTCTTTTCTTTTTTTTTGGACAGGTGAAGAAAATAACCAGAAAAATCAGGTGTACTAGATAAAAGTCAATGAGGTTCCTGCTTTCCATCTTTCTGCACCATTTTCTGTCTGGGTCGGCCGTAGCATGCAGGGGGGCGGAACTCTTTCCTGATGTCTCCTACGGTGTCGCTGGCGAAAAGCAGATGTCAGGACTAGATATTGTCAGACGGGCTCAGTGCTCTTTTGCGGCACTGAAATAAGTGGGCAGATTGTCAAAGGAATCCAGCAGGTTGGGTCGTGAGCGTTTTGTGAAAACTGATCCGAGGTGTCCCAATAGAAGCTGAGCACTCGTGCTGTTCTAGCCCCGGTGGCGGGCATTGAGCATTGAAAATGTGGCCCCATACCCCAAGATTTTTCCTTCTCAGGCCTTTGGTGCTCCCTGTGCTGCTAGGCGGACGAGGGTGGGAGCGCTGCCATGAAACATATTGTTGCAGTGATATTTTTAGAGTGTGCACTGGGATTGGGTTTTTTTTTTTTAATTCTCCACACTGAATGTTAAAGAGACACCCTGGGCTCTCCGCATAGCTGTCTGAACAAGTTCCCCTGGCGTTGCTGCCGCTAACCTGTTGCTCCCTGAAGGAGATTAGAGACAGGACAAAATCCCTCTGGGTTATTTTTAGTTTGTTTTCCTCTGTGCATCTGACAGCGCTTTGTGTGTGGTCAGTTTCACTGTTTTCCCCCCTCTGCGGGGCCTGAGCCAAAGCCCACTTCAGTTTCCACTGACTTTGGTCAAGCCCCTAGCGCCTCAGTTTCCCTTCCTCAGAGTGGATCTTAAGGGGATTGGGAAAGCAGGGAAATTGGCAGAGGGACTGCAGAGCAGGTGCAAAACCCTCCTGCTGCCTCCAGGTCATTGAAATTGACAAGATCTCAAGCTGATTGGGTCCCTCCATAAACGGTCCCTTAAAGCTCCCCTGAGTGGCTTCCTGAAACCAAGTGGTCACTGAACCCAGGTATTCGTGCCAGCAGACCCACCTCCCATCTAGCTGGGATCTAGCCAGGATCTCCCTCTCATGGAAACAGCAGGATGGTCGTGACCCCTAGGTTTTGTCATATACGGTAATTCTTCCTCTGGGGGTGGGGCAGGGAATGTTGAAGCTGTAACACGTTCTCTAGGCCAGGATGGTTTGTACCAATATCATTATGGCAGTTAGGAGTATGACTTATTACCATTATAGCTATACCAGTACAGCTCCTAGTGTGGCTACAGTAAAGCCAGTATAAAGGTGACCAGTAGAGTTATTTCCCTTCTCCTACAGCAAGAGCACCTTCTTTCTACCTGTGTAACTGCGTCCCCACTAGTGGGGTTATGCTGCTTTAACTATACCTGTCTACCTGGGGCGGGAGGATCCCCGAAGCTGCTTAAACGTGATGCAGAAAGAGGCTGGATTTAATCCTGTTAAATGTTAAAAGCTCTGTGGTTCAAGCGTTAATCAGCTTTGTCAGGCAGAGGGAGAGGGCACCCTCTGGGGTGGAGTGGAGATTTGTCCTCTTTCCCGGCCTTACACTTGAGAGTGGGCTCCTCTCTTTTCCCTGGGGAAATGTGACCGCTACGGTGCATGTATCCGCTTTGCAGGGTACATACCTGTGATGCACGGGGTCCTGTTGAGCCCTGGGATAAGTGGGTGCAGCCCCTGTTGATTTCAGTGGGCTTGGCATTTGCTTAGGCCACGGCTGACGTTGGTCTCCAGTGCCTGCCGCGGAAGAAAAGCGGCTGCTCCCGGGTGGCGGGAGAGCATCGTTGTGAGTGTTGTGAGCTGTGTTCCGCTAAGTGGGATGCTGACGTTGCTGAGCCAGCCAGAGGGGAATGCTGGGGGTTCCCTGTTCCCAACTAACCAGGCCTGGATCTGCTCCATTACAGCCCTGCATGCCGAGCCATGGGGCCTCACTGCTCAGCTGGGGACCCGTTTGGCAATCCTCACTGCCTGTTGGTCGCACCCATGCCAGTAACCCCCCAGTAAAAACAGGGCCTGGCTTGGCTACTCCTTTATTTCCCTGACTGCTGAGATCCTGGGAGGAGGTTGTGCCTTTCTGGGAGGTGCCCAGGCTTCTCAGGTGGCCGAAGGCATCTTGGCCTCCCGGAGAATCTGGCTAGAAATGCGCTCTCTGTTTAGACTTGTCACTCAAGTGCCCCTTTGACCTTAGAGGCCAGGGGACGTGTATCCTCATCAAGCCGCTCCCCTCTGTTTCGTCCAGCCCGGCCGTTGCATCTTTTCTTTTTAACCAGGCAGCTGTTTTGTATTTACAAAAACTCTCCCCGATCTCTAGGTTAATGATGCTGCGGTAGCTCCTTCTGGAGCACCCGGGATCAAACCCATTGACGCCAACTCTCCCATTGACTCGGAGCGAGCCAGATTTATGTGCCTTGGTCGGCTGGGCTGCCAATTGCTTGTTGATGCTCTCAGTGGCAATTAGCATCTCACTCCCTGGCCCCTTCTCCCCGCATGGCTGCTAGATTCCTGGCATGACCGTCCCTCCGTAGGCAGCACAGCAACGAGTCAGACCGCCAGTGGCTTCTATACCAAGAGCCAGGTGGGCACGATCGCCAAGGAGCGCCCTTTTTAATGCCCTATGGGACAGCTCCTGCAGAGAATCCAAGCTAGCGTCCATCGCTCTCTGCCGCCGCTCTAGCGGGGAGAATAGGGAGCGAGGGGATTTGGTGAGCGAGGACCAGCTGTAGCAGCAGGCCATCGGCGATACAAGCTCCCGTCATGGAGAAAGCAGGGTGTTTTTATAGAGGGAGGGCTCACTCGACTTTCTCAGCCAGCCGCCAGAATCCATTGAAGTCAACGGCACAGCTCCCACTGACTGCAGGGGGCTTTGGATGGAGCCTGGTGCCACTTGTGATTATAGATCTCTGTACTTTAACAGACTGTTTCGGAGTGCTCCCCTCTTGTCCTGTGCAGACGCACAGAAAGTTACGGCCCTTTGCCCCATTGCCGTTTTCCTCCCCTGCCTGCTAGCCCCAAACGCCTTCTGGTTCCTTTTGCTGCGTCATGGTTTTGGAAGCCGCCCTGGGCTGCTGCCCTCGGAGCTCCATTTTCATGGAGCCCGGGCAGCTTTGAACGGGGAACTGCCAAGCTAAAGTGAAAAGTGGAGCTCAGCCCAGAGATAGGAGCTGGCTGCTCCCCGCTAGCCGGCACCGTAACACGGGGCTTCATCCCTCCTGCGGAAACCTTCCAGCACTTCCTGGGTCTCGCCTCGGTCCGCCCCAGTCACCCAAGCCCTTTGATGTGCTTGGCTGAATCAGGGGCTGGGTGTGTTTGCTGGTGTCCGATGTCACAGAGCGATGCGGCCTCAAGCAAACCAAGAGCCACCCCTGTAGCCTGACAAACGGGACCGATTTCTAGAGTGTTCAGTTCCCCTTCCAGCTGGGCAGTTCGCTCTTTACGCTCCTGCCGTGGAATTGACCCTGCACGCTGGGACCAGCAACCCTGCTAACCCGCAGCCAACGTTCAGTATGCAACTCAGGCGAGATCAAAGATCCCGAAACCCTCTCTCGGTAGTTAGATAAAACTAAGGGTTTTCCCCTCTCCCACCTCCTCAATGCCAAAACCTGTAGCTAGAGAAGACTTATGAGCACAGACCGTACATTTGACTTCATCGCTGAGGGGATCTGTGGCTGTTCTCAGCCCGTGTTGGGTGCAGGACCAGTGAGGTGGCATCTCTGCTCTCCAGACGCCCTAGCCAGTCAGGCCCTTGAGACTTGGCTCTGTGCCTGGCCTGGAAACGTATCCTGTCTCAGAACGAAGGCGTTGCTCGCCTTGTATAAGGAGCCTTAGAAAGCGGGGTGGGTTGGGGGTGGGAGAAATTCTATGTCAAATTCTATATCTCGTGTGTGTTTTGAGTGTGCGTATAAAGCAAAACCAACCAACCTTCGGGGTAAAACGTGTTTCTTATGCAATCTGGGCTCTCGGAGCAAGAGCAGGATTGTAACTCAGGGGAAAAAGACCCGCTGGATCTGATTGTACTGGGTATGGGGGGGGTGGGGGGGAGAAGGGGCAGGGCAGGATTTGCTTGCTGTGTCATTTATTTTAAGTTCCAGTTATTTGGGGGGCGGGGGGAAAGGAGGTGTGATTTCTTAGCCCTGATTTTTTTTATCCAGGAGAAACTTGCCTTAAAGTTGCCCAGCACGGCGGGTGGGTGACCTGGGTTTCTCCCCAGTGCTGGCTCCGTAGGAGAGGCAGCTTTGCTAGCGTTGCTTCCAGCTTGTCTCTGCCCTGCTCTCGCTGCAGGAGGCTGTGCGGCCGCAAGGAAACCTGGACCCGAGCACTACTGAGATACTTGACTTCAGAAAGGGCTGCGTGCATCTTTGTGGGCCTGCTGCCTCGGGGCTGCGTGGGTGTGTGCCCGAGGGAGATCCCGAGGGGGACCCTCAAGTTCCACACCGGGGACAGCTAGTGTGTGGAAAGGGCTTGTCTCCCACACTGCCTCGCCGGTGGGCACGCTCTGCCTCTGGGCTGCCCCGGCTTCTACCGGCAGCTAACCCAGGAGCCCCTGAGCAGGCCACACATCCGGGGGGAACGGGTACAGGGACTGGAGGGGCCTACAGCGCAGACAAGCCACAGGGCACCTCTGCGTGCCAAACACTGGACAACCCAAGAGTCATTCCCTACCCCATCCCCTTAACTCTGGTTCGTGGCCCCCAAATCCCCACTAGCCCGCAGTTCTGCTGAGCCCACCTGCTCACTTCTGAAGGTCTGGCTAGGACGATGCCGTGGAGCGCTTGCCGCTAGGACTCCAACGTGCTGTTTTAGGGCCAGCCTGACGACCTTCAAAGAGAAATCCGGCGGGATGGCCCCCAGAGAACTCTTTTGTCACTGGTTTTTGTGCTGGGGTAGGGGGGTGTTTAGATTTTTAGTAGGTTTTGCATTTGTACAGTCCCTGTTTTATTCCTCTCCTCACCCCCCCACACACCCCCACTAATTTTTTGGTTGGGTTTTTTGAGTTTTTTTGGGGGGGGGGCAGGGAGAGCATATTACATTCAGCTCTTTATTCCTTTTTGCATATCGATTTAAAAAAAAATTCAGTTTCTCTGGGGTGTGAAAGGCAAAAGGAATGAACACAGCTGCAGACGCAATTATACAGCATGTAGATCTTAACTCAGGTAAAAAACAAAAACACAAAAAAAAGAATAAAAACCACATTCTACCTCTGATAATGGCGGGCCTCAGGCTGCCTGTCCTGGGAATCCCGCGGTGAAATATTTCAGTTTTGCAGACATTCAGGTATTAAAACGTTGTGATTATTAAATAAAATAAAATAAAAACACTGAAAGTTTACATTTTATAATAACATTATTATACAGATTGTATTTAAACTTCAGAATATTTAAGACAATTGTAACCCTGTAAAGTTGATGAAATATTAAAAACAAAAACAAAAATCTGACTTTTAAAAGCAGCCTTTGATTTCTTGATTGTGTTGCCTGGTCTTTATCCACAGGGTCCCTCGGCATTTGGAGAAACCTCTTGTAAAAAGAAGCAGGGTTGCCACTGGGTTATTAGGTGTATTACGGTAGCACCTAGGAGCCCAACCCCTTTGTGCTGGGCCCTGTACATTAGTAGGTATATTACGGATGCCATGTACAATGTGGTAGATCGGGTACAAAGACAGTACAAAGTGCCGGTCCCTGCCTCCAAGAACTTCCAATCTCAGCATAAGGCCGGAGACAACAGGTGGCTACAGACAGTTGAGTACAAGGAAACAGTGCTGGGCAGCGGTGCCTAGCAGGTGGATCCCTTTCCAACAGATACACGAGAACAAAAAGCGAAGTTGTGGGTTTGATTCAAAAATAACTGGGTATGGCTCTGCAGCAGGGCTGCCTAGCTGATCGTAGGATAGGCCTTTCTGGTTGTAATGTCTATGAACTCTTGCGATGTTTGGGGACGGGGAGGGTCTCTTAAGCCCCCAGCTTCTCTGTGAGAATTTCCACTTCCCATTACAGCCCCGCCGAAGGGCCTCACCCTGCTGGCTGTGGAGAAGAGCGTGAAAGGGCGGCTCAGAAAGCCTGCCCACCGTGTGATTTTTTTCTGCTATTCTCATGGTTTTGCAGGCGGGGCTGGCGTGATTTTGGAACGCCTGGGGTTGACAACACGGAAAAGGAGATGGGTGGTCGGCGGACTGCGCTGGAGATCTGCCAGCGACTTCCCTGGGACAACCCCCTACGCTCCCCATTGGCCTGCCCCTTGGGTGCTCACTGGGGCTTTGATCCGGGGAAGCACCAATGCACATATGTGCCTAAGACCTGACGGGACTTGGAACATGTGCTGCAAGTTATATCGGCTTCTCCCCCCTCCCTGCCTCCCTCTGCTTGGAAAAGGGCCCCCAGCTCCTCCAGCGGTCTTTGCACCCACCAACCCGCTGCCTTCATGCTCCAATCCCTCCAGCCTCCTCCCCATCCCACCCTCCCTGGCTGACTCCTAAGAAGCTGTGCTGGGGGGTGGGGTGGGGGCTGGCATGGGCGGGATTCTCCTTTGGACTTTGCAGGCCAGTCCACTGCCATGGAAGCAAGAGCTAGTCTTGCCCCCCCCTTGACTGTAGATCCATAAAGCTTTCGGTTGCTCTGCTGGGACCATCCGTTAATATCCAGCAATTTCCAACTCCTCCCCCCACCCCTGCTTTGCACAGGGGGAGGTTGGGTTGGGCTGAACCAAACTGGGCCGATCTGCTGGGCTCTGTCACTCAAGCCTCTCTCCTTCTCCCTTTATGTGGGCACGGGAACATGATCTGGGCAAGGAGCGTTCAGGGAGGGTGGGATAAGACTCTGCATTTGTTAGCTGGGGATCTCAAAGGGCTTTGCAAACATCCATGGGGGCTTCCGGGATTAGCGCTTCATTTGACACAGGCAGGGAAGGGACTGAGGCCCAGAGAGGTGAGGTGACCTGAGCCCCACAGCAGGTCAGCAGTGGAATTTAACCCGGGAGTCCTGGCTCCCAGTCCCCTCCTCTAGCCCCTGGACTGCAGAGCCAGAGCTGGGAATCGAACCCAGGAGTCCTGGCGCAGTGTTTATTGCGCTAATCGCTGATCGTGCTGCCTCCCTCACAGAGGAAAAGCGACACAGAAGGTTTCCCTAAAAGCTCCCTCCACGCCTTATCTTCATCCTTCCTTTCCCAGCCCCTGCCCTGGTCTCAATCCAGCTGGGGCTCTGGGGGGTCCCTACGAATCGCTCCAATTTGGTGCCTGTCCTTTTTT